GCAGGAATGAAGCCCTGAGGCTGAAGAAGAAGATGGAGGGAGACCTGAATGAAATGGAGATCCAGCTCAGCCATGCCAACCGCCAGGCTGCAGAGGCACAAAAGAACCTGAGGAACACACAGGGAGTGCTCAAGGTCTGTTCAGCAAAGCTACAGACAGACAAATGCCACCCCTGACAGTTTTGGCACCCAAGAGCACGCTGCCACCTTGTTCTTGCCTCTTTTCCAGGATACCCAGATACACCTGGATGATGCTCTGAGGACTCAGGAGGACCTGAAGGAGCAGGTGGCCATGGTGGAGCGCAGAGCAAACCTGCTTCAAGCTGAAGTTGAGGAGCTTCGGTCAGCCCTGGAGCAGACGGAGCGGTCGAGGAAGTTGGCTGAGCAGGAGCTTCTGGATGCCACGGAACGTGTGCAGCTCCTCCACACCCAGGTCAGGAACCCTGCTGGAAACTAATCCCATCCACAAGGGATAACTCAGAACGAGATTGCTCTCCATTTTGTGATTACTATGTATATATATTTGAAGAGCCATGCCATGATATGGCCAATCTAGCCAGCCCCCCACTTCTTGTTGGTGACTATGGCTCTAAAGAGGTCTCTTGCATGAAAGACTTCCATAAACATTGCTTGCAATTTCAACTCCTGATGTGTAGACCTTAGGTCTAAAAGTACAACTCATGTTTTTCTGTTGCACAGAACACCAGCTTGATCAACACTAAGAAGAAGCTGGAAACAGACATTGTGCAAATTCAGGGTGAAATGGAGGATATGATCCAGGAAGCCCGCAATGCTGAAGAGAAGGCCAAGAAGGCCATCACAGATGTGAGCTGAGGGTTCTTTTCAATGCTTAATGGAAGTGCCTTCTTCCAAAAATATCTCCAGTCCCAAAATGGCTCTTGACCTTTTTCCCTCACCAGGCAGCCATGATGGCAGAAGAGCTGAAGAAGGAGCAGGACACCAGTGCCCACCTGGAGAGGATGAAGAAGAACCTGGACGTTACAGTGAAGGACCTGCAGCACCGTCTGGATGAGGCTGAGCAGCTGGCCCTGAAGGGAGGCAAGAAGCAAATCCAGAAGCTGGAGGCCAGGGTGTGTAGGGCTCTTCTTTGTGTGTGAGTGAGGATGTGATGTCAGCAGCCAGCAGGGAAGCTCCAAAGCTGGGCTTGTCGTTGCAGGTGCGGGAGCTGGAAGGGGAGGTTGATGCTGAGCAGAAGCGCAGCGCTGAAGCCGTGAAGGGTGTGCGCAAGTACGAGAGGAGGGTGAAGGAGCTGACCTACCAGGTAAGGCAGGAGGTCTCCTTGGGCTGGCAGAGTGTTCTGACAGCAAGTCAGGCTGTGCAGCCACCATCCCCAAGGGGAGCAGTGAACCTCACATGGTGCAGAACCAATCTCAGCTTTTCTCCCCTGTTTGCCAACCGCTCTAGTCTGAGGAAGACCGGAAGAATATTCTGCGGCTGCAGGACCTGGTGGACAAGCTGCAAATGAAGGTGAAATCCTACAAGAGACAAGCTGAGGAGGCTGTAAGTGTTGCATGTATTGGTAACAACCAAAATTTTCTGAGGAGGAACACAAATGATATGGGAAATAAAAATTTTGTTTTGAAAGCATTGAAACTGAAAAACTGTGGTGGATTTCAAGTGCAGGGAAAGAAAGGTCAGTTATCTGAGAAGATAACAGGAAACTCCTCCTTGTAAGGTGATCACCCATGAGAAAAAGAACTCTAGAAACAGCATCCTTAGAGCATGGTTGACAGTTTTCTTTTGGTTGTGCTCCTGTCAGGGTAAACTAAGGGATGTCCTACAAACGTTTTTATCAAGGAGGGCAGACTGAGGGACATGTCTCACAATGAGTCGCTCAGCAGATAATCTTTTTAGTGAAGTTCCTCTCTGCATAGGCAGTGTAGACAGGTTTTGCTCCCCTATGATGAATAAAATTTGTGAGAGGGACATGGCTGGGTTCTAACTGACTCATCTCCTCTAAGTCCTTCATTGCATATCCGAAAGTGCAGACCTAGAACACTAAGCCAGAACAGGACACAGAGATGTGTATCTTATCTCCTGCACTGGAAATAAGCTTCACTATCATCTGCTAAGCAATATTCTTCGTAAGACAAAGTGATGAGATACTTGACTACAGACAGTAGTTTGAAAAGGGTGGATTGTGGGGAGTGCTGTATGGCTGTGGAAGACATGGAAGTCATAGCAGATACATTGGTAGGAGAAGCTATACTCACCTAGTAGGGAGTGGCAGGAGGAGGGAGGTACTTCCTAAGGGTACTAACCTTTGGGGAGTATCCAGGCTCTTTCTTTGCCCTAACCTTTCAGTGTAAACAATAACAAACTGCAGGCCAAACAGTTTTTTCTTGATAGTAAAAACTAGAGAAAGTTGTGCTGTCCATTCCCCTTTGCACATTCCAGAGAACAGAACTGCAATAACCATTCCTAAGTTCCTTCAGTTGGTTTAGATGCGATATTCCAAACAAGGGAAGATGAGGTCTGTGTGATGCTTCTGGGTCATCAGTGGTGGGTGGGAGATGGAGGTCTGTCCTTTCACATGGGAAGAGCCATGCAAGGCTGAGATGTGGGAGGAGTGGAATCCCAGCCCAGGGCTCCTCACCACCAACTGCCTCTCCCTGCACAGGAGGAATTGTCCAACGTCAACCTCTCCAAGTTCCGCAAGATCCAGCACGAGCTGGAGGAAGCCGAGGAGCGGGCTGACATTGCAGAGTCACAGGTCAACAAGCTCCGGGCCAAGAGCAGGGAGTTTCATGGCAAGAAGATAGAAGAGGAAGAGTGAGAGTGTCATGAGGCGACAAAGTGACCTGAGGATGCGCAAAATGTGAACCTCTTGGTCGCTTTTCTTCTGCAATGTCTCTCTGTACCCGCCCCCGTGTCTAGAGAATAAAGACTGTAGATTCCTCTGCATACAGACCATGAACAGTGCCTTCTTTGGGTTTGTTTCTGACCAAGCCTGGGGTGTAGCATTGCAGCACAGGTTTTCTTGTTTTTCCTGGCTGGGGGAGGGGAGAAGCAACCTCTGGATTGAGGCCCTGCAAACTTAGAGGCTGGCCACTCCAGTGGAGAAGTCTACTGAGAGTCCAGGCTGTGCTCTCTTCTGTCTCCAGCAGCTCCTTGCCCTGCTCCTGCCCTCCCATGCTCTTCATGCTTCTCTCATTGCCTTCCAGCACAGCTGACTTCTTATGTCAGAGGCAAGAGTGGATATTCCATTCCTTTTTCCTTTCCCTCCTCTTGTTTGTGATCCTGGCAGTCACAAACCCTAAACATCAGTCTCTGTGTAAGTTATCAGAAGTCACAGTACACTGTACCATGAAGGGCCAACCAAGAGGTCCTTGGCAGAGAGGATTTTTGGCGCACAGAGCACTCTGATGTCACCTTGTCAGTGCCTCTGAATTGTGCCATCTCTCTTACCCTAGATTCCCTCAGCTGCTGCCACCACCTGTTCCTAGTTTCTCTGCAGTGGACAAAATGCTGCCTGGGGCCACATGCAGGAAGGACAGCCCCTTGGGGCCCATTTCTTGCATGCTGTGTGGCACCAACACACCTCCTCAACACATCACCTCCAAGGTCAGCCTTGTCCCCTCTCACACTACAGGCTGTACATGGCATCTCCTTGGGCAAGAGGAAAGAAGAAAACTGATGGGTGCAGCCCTCCATTCCTCCGTCACATACCTGTACCTCACTTTGGCCTCTCCACAGGCTAGACAGAGCCAGTATTTTGGGGATGAAGGGAAGGGGGAAATTCTTAAACACTTTTTCCTTCCTTCAGACCCTGACCTGAAGAGCAGAGGCACAGTGGGCAGATACAGCTGTGAAGTCTCCTGTGCTCTGTCAGCCATCTCAGCTGGATTAGTCTGCCACAATCATCAAGCCTTTTCTGTACTTTGGGTGAAAGACACATGGACAGTGCCAAGGTACGTTGGACACAAGCCCACTGTTGTCTGCCTAAGGTGATGTTTTGCCAGGTCCCTGTTCCAATTAACTTCTGTCCCTTAGTTTCAGGGAGACCACCCTAGAGGATTTTTGCAGAACGCCCCAGGAGTGAAGGGCTGTGTGAATCAAGTGCAGGTTAGTGGGGCCTTAGGGAAATCCTTTCAGCAGTATCAGAGCTCCCTACCTGTTCCTCCAGCTGAGTCCAGGCTGCAGGGTCCCTTGATGCAGAGGGATGTGGAGGGAATGAGAAACACATGGGCAGCAACTGGGGAGTGAGGTGCAGCTGGCACTGTAAAGAAACAAGCAGCAGGCTCAGGAGCAGAGGCCAGGATATATGTTGATGTTGAAACTTGTGGCAGTCCACAGCTTTCCAGCTCTGTGCACTAGCAAGTGCAGAGGTAGGTCCTCCATGGAGCACTGAGCCCTGCAGGGCTGAAGGGATGCAGGTGGTGCAGAAAAGGATTTTTCCCGGGGGAAAAACAACTGTCTGCTGCCATCTGGCTGCTGCCACTTTGCCTCTGGTCTCTTCCACACTGCAAACTCACTGCTGGCACAACTGTTCACCGACCAGCAGGTGGTGGTGCTCACTCAGCACCATGAACTGACCCTCGGGAAGCACCAGCTCTGCTCAGGGTGCACTGGATTTTTTTTTGGGAGGAAACTGTGTCTATGATAGGGGAGTTCATGTGTGTGAGTCACAGCCTTTGTGGCAGGAAAATTAATGGTCTGATAAAGGCAACTCAATGAAATATGATATGTTTTCCTAAAAGTAGTGTTAAACAAAAGTAATTTAAAAAACATGAAAACACAGTTTTAAATAGTGATGTTTAGGACTGTGACCCAAAACGAGCTGCTCCTGACACAAGTGATTGAGCTGCCTTTTCCGTGAGCAGAACTGCCTGCTCCAGGGGCTCATGTTCATGGTGCTGAACCAGTGCCACCTGCTGACTGGTGAACACTGTCCCAGCAGGGAGGTGGCACTGTGGAAGTGTCTGACAGCAGCTGGTGGCAGCAGCCAGGCCCTGTGCCCAAGCCTGAGGCAGGTGCCCCTAAAGGTGATAGGAAGTGGTGAGGACTGACATTGCTTGGTCTAAGCTTGTAGAAGTCAAAGCCTGAGGCTTGGTTTCCAAAGATGCTCACACTGCTGGGAAGTTGCAGCCAACAGCTCTCCAGCTCTGCTCCTATGGCAGCAATTTACAAAGGGCTCTCACCTTACCTGGCTCCCAAGTGCAGCCTCACCAGAGCAGCAGCTCTCACAACAGGGTCCTTCCTGCTTCCAGTGTCACTAGTGAGCACTGGTGAACAGAACCTCTGTCAGTGCTGCCTGAAGAGAGCAGTGGGAGAAGACTCTTCAGGAGCCATTTGCAATCACCACGGGTCTTACGAAAGCCGCCCAAGACCTTGCAAAGATGCCAGACTAGTTCTCCCTTCTCAGGACACTGCACACTTTTTCCCCATGGCTCCCTAGCAGACTTTCAACCTTGTCCATCCCTCCTGATCCCCTGCAGTCTTTCTCCATGCCTGACAGCATGCATTGGTCTGCCACTACAGCCAGGTTCTCTTGTGGGGACCCTTGTCTGCCCAAACCTACCAGTGACCTGACTGCTCCTCTTGGGTGGCCTGAGAATCTCTAGCCTCACCTTCAGGCTTCTCTAAAGCTTCCAGTGGGGCTGGGTAGAGTCTGGGTGACACACAAGATGCTGTGAGTGTCCCAGTTTGCTGTAATGGCTGGTGCAAACATAAACTTCTGAGTCTCTGTGCAATCCTGCTTTACAGACCCTGCACCATCCTTTGCCTCCCATTGTCTCCACCACAGCACCTTGAGGATGTGTCATGGCAATGAAGTCCTGCAGCCAGCAAAGCCAGGCACAGGGAAGGGAGAAGAAGGCAGGTGTGAAGAGGAGTGAGCAGGCTGACAGCTTCTGGCTACACTGGTAAGTGTGACACCTGGAGATGGCTCCTTTGCTGACTTGTACAAAAGAACTGTTGTCAAAGGCACGGGGGGGAAAGGACAGGGAAGTACCTGAAGAAGTAGCACTTGCATCACAGGTATAGCAGTGTCTGTTCTCACCTGTCATAGTCTTCTTCAGACTCTGTTTAGTCAAGTCAACAGTTTCTTCCTTTAGCCTCCTGTGTGCTCCACTTGCACACAGTTACACACCCTCTGGTATCTCTCTCAGGCTCCAGGGACAGGTGCCCACCCTCAGGCAGGACGTGCCCCAGTGCTGCTGGCAGTGCTGGTGGGACTGAGGCCTGGCCTTGCAGCCTGGAAATCCACAGCCCCCTCCTCCTGGGCTCCAGGGTCCCCCCAGCTCGCCCATCAGCCTCCACAGGAGTCCTGCCCAGAGGAGGAGACAAGGCCAAAGCAGAGAGCTCTGCAGGTCGCCCGTGCCAGGAGGATCAGCCTGTCACTTGCCTCCCTTCCTCCTCAGTCTGAAAGGCTCAGAATAGCCCTGGTCTTGCAAGACTCCTCTGGGGTCGTGCCTGTTTGTGTGGCTGACACGCTCCACTAATAGCACCCCAAGACATTCCTGGGCGGGTCGGTTGCCTTCTATAGCTCAGCACGAGGTGCTGCCACGTAGGAGCTGGACAACTGTGCTGTGTCCTGAGATGGCAGGTGCTGTTCTTGCTGCAGAGAGACTCGCACAGCTCCTTTCTCAGCTCAAGTGTTGCAAACCAGAAGTAGGCCCTGGGATGCTCTCCCTGGGAAGAGCATAAACCTCCCAGCCCACGCACTAGACCAGGTTGCTCAGATCTCCATCCAACCTGGCTTTAAACACTTCCAGGGATGGGGCTTCCATAACTTCCCTGGGCAACCTGTTCCAGTGTCTGACCTCCCTCACAGAAAAGAATTTCCTCCTAATCTCTAAATCTCCCCTCTTCCAGTTTAAATCCATCCCCTCTTGTCTTCTCACTCCCTGCCCTTGTCCCAAGCCCCTCCCCAGCTTTCCTGGAGCCCCTTCAGGCACTGGAAGGTGCTCTTAAGGTCTCCCTGGAGCCTTCTCTTCTCCAGGCTGAACACCCCAACTTTCCCAACCTGTCTCCAGAGCAGAGCTGCCCCATGAGCTGCTATTTTAACCACACTGTGGTTATCATGACTTTCTGCTCTGGTTACTTCATATGGCTGCTACATTGCAGACTTTGTCAATGGCCTTAGAGCTTGTGGGAGAGTGGCCTCCAAGCACTTTGGCAAGGCTAAATGTGAGCAGAATTCAAAGTAGCTCTGGGAAACTGCAGAAGTTGTTTCAGATTTTCAGACGGAAATTTAATGAAGAGGAACAAAGAACAAAGTACTTTCAGGAAGATGAGATGAGGTAGACACATGCATTGTTTATGGCTGTTGAACTAAGAAATAAAGGAAGTGGGGCTTGTGAAATATCTCAAATTAACACTGGAGAAAAAAAAAAAAAAGACTTTTAAAATATTTTTGAAGTTTTCTAGGCAATTATTTTTTTTTGGTATATGTAGGTGTTTGGATGTTATTCTTAGACCTGGAAAGTTTCTGTAGTAGGAAACATTTCAATGAGTTGGTTTGGCAATTACTTGAATAAGAAAAACAGTACCTTTACTTTGGAACTTATTATATTAGTGAAGTTGTGCTCTTCCTAAAGCCCTCTTTAGATAGATTATCTAGTCCAACATATTGTCTTGCACTTGAATAACAGTGTAGCTTTGTTGAGGATCCACTACCTTATTAGGACACATGTAGAACACCAGTGAGAAACTAAATTTGTTTTTTCTTGACTTGTGATTATCTGATATGTGTTCAGGTCAGGGGTTGCTTTGCAGTGAGGTACTATTTTTAGAGTTGTCTGTCATTTGATCAGTACTAGTGCAAATGTCCTGAAAAATATGTTGGGCCACAATGGCCACAAAGAAAGACCTCTCAGAGGCAAGCTTAAAGATGCAGTTAATGAGCTCAAATAGAGCTTCTATCACATATGAGTGGCAGGGGATTGGCAGAGGGTCTGT